AAGAGAGAAAGCAAGCTGCCAGATCTGGGACTCGAAACACAGTCAGCCGCATGGGAGCCCTTAACCACCATTCCCCCTGCTGTGCTCCAGGGTAGTTTCTTCATTCATTCATTAAACAAAACACTTCTCCCTTTTCCTCTCTATCTGTCTCTGGCCAGCGCACACACCCTCTGGCAATTAATAAAAAAACAAAATCACGAAAATCCATCAGTGTAATACACCGTATTAATAGAATAAAGAACAAAAGCCACATTATTATCTCAAGAGATGCAACAAAAGCATTTTACAAAATTTAATACTCATTCATAATTTAAAAGAAAAGCTTCAATAAAGTAGGAATAGAAAGGCACTTCCTTGTCCTGTTGAGGTTATTTACAAAAAAAAAAACACAGCTAACTTCACACTTAATAAAAAACTGAATGCTTTCCTCTAAACATCAGAGACAAGACAAAGATATCTGCTCTTACCACTTCTATTCATCATTGTTCTGGAGTTGATAGCCAAGAAAGTTAGGCAAGAAAAAATACACAAAAGGCAACCAGATTGGAAAAGAAAGAAAACTATCTCTGTTTGTAGATGTCTTACATAGATAATCCTGAAGGCTCTCCCAAACACTAATAGAGCTAATAAATATAAAGACCCAATTAGGGACCAGCAGGTGGTGTGGTTAAGGTGCTGGACTTCCACATAGTTGTGGTTCGAGTCGTAAACCCAGCAGCTTGAAACTCACACCGGGTGCTTTTGTGTGCGTGCCCAAAATCCTGAAAGGAGAAAGTATGAGAAAGGATTGTAGCATGGCCATCTCTGCAGGGGATGCTTTCTTACTTCCTCTCTATCTGTCTCTGTCTCTTGGACAAGAGCATGCACCCTATAGCAAAAAATCTATCTCTAAATAAACAAACAAAAGACCCAATTAAAGGAAAGACTTCCGTGTTCATTGATTAGATGAAGTTAGTATGTTAAGATGTCTCTACTCCTGGGACCAGCAGTTAGCGTAATGGCTATGTCACTGGACTCCCATGTAGCCGATCGCGATTCAAGTCCCAGACCTGGTAGCTTAAACTCACGCTGGGCGCGTGTGCACATGTGCCCAAGATCCCAAGAGGAGAATGGAGGAGAAGGGATTGTGGCATGGCCATCCCCTCTGGGGGGTGATTTCTCGCTTTCTGTCTCTCTGTCTCTCTCTGTCTTTCTGGCGAGCACACACACCCTATAGCAAAAAACCTCTCTAAAAAAAAAAAAAAAAAAAAAGATGTCTCTACTCCCCAAATTGATCTATACATTCAACAGAATTTCTGTAAAAAACCAGTTTACTAAGGCCAGCAGATGGCACAGTGGTTATGTCGCTAGACTCCCACATGGATGACTGCGCTTTGAGTTCCAGAACCAGTGGCATGAAACTTACACCAGGCACATGTGCATGCATGCCCAAAATCCCAAGAGGAGAATGGAGGAGAAGGGTTGTGACATGACCATTCCCCCTAGGGGTTGATTTCTCTCTTTCCTTCTCACTGTCTCTGTCATCTATCTCTTTTTCTGGCAAGCCCATGCACCCTAAGGCAAAAACCTCTATAAAGAAAAAAGAAGTTGAGGACCAGCAGGTGGCATGGTGGTTAAGGTGCTGGACACTCCCACGTGGCTAACTACTAGTTGAGTCCTGTACCTGTCAGCTTGCTTTCTCACTTTCCCTCTCTCTTGCTCTCTGTGTCTCTCTCTGGCCAGATTAAAATAAATAAATTAATGGATAAATAAAATTAAATAATTCTTAAGAATAAAGTTGAGTTCTTTGCAGAAATTGACAAGCTGATCTTAAAATTCATATGCAAAGGGCTAAGAATATCCAAAATAGCCTAAAGAAAAAATAAAGTTGGAGGACTCATGCTTCCCAGTTTCAAAATGTACCACAGTTACCAGGATGGTGAGGTACTGGTTACAACTCAAAGGAATAAGTATTAACAATCTAGAAATAAACTCATCCTTTATGGTCAACTGATTCTTTTTTTTAAGTTTATTCCATGAACTAGAGAGAGAGGAAAAGAGAACCCCCAATAGGATCTAGATGCCACAGTCCACACCGAGGATCAGTTAGCCTCAAATCATGGGCACATGCTTGTCCATTATAGTCAGAGAGGCCTCTAGACATGAACCATGAACCTCTCCATGTGGCTGTCTCACCGAGCATCACATTTTACCACTGCTCCACCGTCTGCTCCTCAAAAGTAAAACAAAGGCTAGGTGCAGTGCCATGTGCCTGTTATCCTAGCAGCTTTGGAAGTCAAGGCTAGAGGATTGTGAATTTGAGACCAGC